GATTATACTTCTGTTTTCCAATTCCAGTGTAAGACAATGGCAGGGTTGGGCTTTGAATGGATAAAGTGGGTAATGAAAAGCTGACTGGCTTTGAAGTCAGGGTTGGATTTGAATCCTAAATACTGATTGTTTAGCCTGCCCAGACTTGGTTTTGTCATCTGTGAAATGGTAAAAAAAAAAAAGTCTGTTCTAGCCATCTGCTGGTTAGACAGACATCTATATTTATATCTACACTTATATCTATATATTTACTTATAGAGGTTAAAGTAAGATTAAATATATTTAATAATTTAATAAATAAAATAAATATTTAATATTTAATAAGTCCATGGCTCTTAATATCTGGCTCCTAAAAGGCCTTCTTTATCTTTTCCTCCCTCTTAACTCAGCACTACTGTTACTCCAAAACCTTTCCCCCATCTTTTTTAAAAGTCAGTATTGAGTTTGCTACAATTATTTCTGTTTATTATTTCTGTTTTGTGTTTTGGTTTTTTGGCTGAGACATGTGAGATTCTTAGCTCCCCTACAAGGGATTGAAGCTGCACCCCATGGGTTGAAAAGTGAAGTCTTAACCAATGGATCACCAGGGAAGTCCCAGCCTCTCCCCTTTGATGAAACTCAGATAAAACCATGCTGAAGCTGAAGCTCCAATACTTTGGCCACCTGATGCAAGGAACTGACTCATTGGAAAAGACCCTGATGCTGGGGAAGATTGAAGGCAGGAGGAGAAGGGGACAACAGAGAACGAGATGGTTGGATGGCATCACTGACTCAAGGGATATGAGTTTGAGCAAACTCTGGGAGACAGTGAAGGGCAGAAAAGCCTGGCGTGCTGCAATCCATGGGGTCACAAAGAGTCAGACACAACTGAGCGACTGAACAACAACAACAACTGCAACAGATAAAACCAGATAAAAAGTGGAAATATATCAAGTAGGTGCTTCAGCTGGTCTGAGAAAATCTTTCCCAGTTTGGCCATCATTGGCAAAAACATCATTGGCATCATTGGTAAACGCCAGGAAGTAAATGTGATAATTTACTTTAAAACATTTAGAAAGTTTTCAGATGGAGGAAGAATTAGACTAGTGATAAATTGTGGAGCGTGGACCATCTACATCTGAGTCATCTGGATAGTTTGTTAAAGTAGCAGGGCCTACTACTTTAAGGGCCTCTGTACTGAAGCCTGGGAATTAATAGATTAAAATTTTCTGTACTGAGAAGCAGTGTATTCTAAAAGTCCACAGTCATTTTACATAGGTTCAAATTCTGGCTCCATCTGTGTAACACAGGACAAGTTATATAACTTCTCCATATAAAATGAGATAAACAAAGTAGATTACTCATTGGGTTTTTAAAACTAAATAAGTTAGTACCTAAGAAGTACCCATAAGACAGACCAGCATAAGTAACCACCCTTTATTTTTCTCAGTGTATAAGGCAATGTTTAAGATACCTTGCAAGGCCTCCTATGATTTCCATTCTGTTTCCTCTCTGACTCAGGGTCCCAGATAACTACATGGCTAGCTCCTTCATCTCCTTGAAGCCTTTGCTCAGTATCTGATCAGTGAAGGATATTTTGACTGTTTTATTTTTTATTTTTAAAATATTTATTTTATTTATTTATTTGACTGCTCTGGGCCTTAGTTGCAGCACTCGAACTCATAGTTGTGTCATGTGGGATCTAGTTCCCTGATCAGGGATTGAACCCAGGCCCCATGTATTGGGAGTCCTAGCCACTAGACCATGAGGGAAGTTCATTGACTGCTTTTATATCATTATAAAATTGCCCCTCATCCTTCTTCCTGTTCCTACTCCTGGCATTCCTTTTTTTTTTTTTTTTCTGGCATTCCTGATCTTACTTACCCTGCTCAACTTTTTCTTTAGTCCATAATAGTTATCACCTTATTGGCTTCCACATGCTATTTAATATATTGTCTATTGTTTAGTGATTAGTGTACTTCCACTGGAGTAAAATCCACAAAGGCAGAGACCTTTATTTTTCTCACTTCTGTATCCTGGATACCTAGCAAATAGCATCTGCCTAAATGATGCAAATAGCATCATGAGTAAATGATGAATGAATAAATGTATAGATGTTAGTATTATTTATCCCCATAGAGTAAAAAGAATTAGATGGAAATGGATAAGTAAATGAATTACAAACTCAGGTTCAATCCCTGGATCAAGAATGACACTTGGAGAAGGAAATGGCAACCCACTCCAGTATTCTTGCCTGAAAAGCTCCTTGGACAGAGAAGTCTGGCAGATTACAGTTCATGTGGTCATAAAGAGTCGGCCATGAGTGAGTGACTGAACAACAACAAAACAAATATAAAATAATGAACTAACCAATTCTCTATATATACATACACTTATACACATACCTATTGGCCTATGTATGTGTACATGTATATTAGGATATCGACTATATATTTAGAATATTGAAATATAAATTTATATGTGTGCAAAATATGTGTGTATTTATAAGTGTGTATATACATGCATTTAGAAATTATCCAAAATTGCCTTGGAAAGCAGAGGTGATTGAGGTGATTCCTTGATGTTAGTGTTGCTATGAACAGTTTGAGAGATACAAAAGGAAAAATATATATGTGTGTGTGTGTATATATATACAGATAACAAATAAGTAAACAGAAAAAATACAAATAATTTCAGGATAAGAAATAAGGGGAAATAGGGGCTGAGATGAAAATACTGACAACAACAATGTTAGAGGCTGTTGGAGAGGGGCAGTTTTAAGTAGAGTAGTCAGGGGTAACATCTCTGAGAAAGTGATGTTTGAGCTAGAAAAAAGATTGCAAAGGAGCCAGATTGTTCTGGTCATGGTTGAAGTGACACTGCCTGGTGAGAGGAAAAGAAGGGCTGGAGTTGAGGTCCTCAGATAAGCAGGGACTAGATCAGAGTGGCCTTAGAAGCCGAGGTAAGGGGTTTGGATTGTATGTCAAATGCAGCAGGAAGTTACTGAAAGGGCTAAGGTAGAATGATGACCAGGTTCGACATATTTGAAACCTCCAACAGAGAGTGAAGGAAAATGGAAGAATTTATTTCTAAGGTGAAGAAACAAATTGTTCTGATCTCATGTAGGTTCCTAGAACAAACAAGGATACAATTTACTTTCATTGATGAGTCATTCATAGCCTTTCTTTCCCGTTGTAATGTCCAGCAAAACAACAAAAGAAGCAGGTTAAATAGGCAAAATCAGTTTCCTTTTCTTTTTCTCAAAGGGCATCATTATTTTTTCCAAATACACTAAGTAATCAATGGATATGTAAGCACTGTTGCTCAATTCAATTCAGCTGGAAATTTTACAGTTCTTGTGTAGGTGTGTTATGTAATCAGTCCCCCAAGACATTGGACCTAGAGCTCTTTCTTTATGAGATTTTAGGTACCATTTTCTGAAATCTGCTCTCCTAAAGGGTGAACATGTGAAAGGCAAATTTAATTCTACCCGAGATCAATTTCTTCTTGCTGGTCTAAAAGTCTAAATGGTTCCTAACTCTTCTCTCAAAAAGTAGAACTTCTCCATGAAGTTTTTACTGACACATGCATCGGTAGGCTCATACATGTCTCCTAATAATGTAAACTTTACAAGTATTAACTTATCAAAGCCTCAGAATAAGTTTAAGAGGTAGGTGCTGTTATAATCACCATTTTACAGAAGAGAAAACTGAGGCCAAGGTCACCGAGTTAGTCAGCTGTAGCGTCAAGTTTGAGCTGGGGCAAGCTTAACCATTGTTCCATATTGCTTGCCCTTGATTATAAGAAGTGACCCTCAATATTTTATTTATCTCTGCTTGTTCCACTTCATGGTGCTTCCTATGAAGGAATAGTTCAATAAATGTATTGAATCAGTGGACAAATGTGTGACCTTTTAAACTGTATTATTTTATTAGCATAGAGTAATAAACATGTGTTTATTACTGGGCAGGATAATATACTTAATCTCCTGGGCAGGGTAATGTACTTAATCTCCCTGAGATATGGTAAAATTACTTCACATCTCTAACCCTGTTTCCTCATTTGTGTTATTGGCATAAGGATGTAGAACTTTTTTAGGATTAAATACGTTTATAAAGTGCTTAGCAGAGTACCTGCAACATAATTAGTACTTAGTCCACTTAAACTGCT